GTGGACTGCAGTTTCGACCTCGCATTGGTCTTATCAACACCCTCAGCGGGATTCGAATCGCGACAGTGCAACATGGGAGCATGATATGTTAACTACTCTATCACATTGCCTCGAGTGCCCTTGACTCACGGGGCAGATGTGAATCTCAAAGGCAGCCCTTTTCTCATATCACATTCTTTGGTGTGATTTTCGACGAAGCAAACGTATTTTTGCTATAAAAATCGACTAAATCATTTAATTTTAGTCACAAACCTACTTACATACGAAAATTAAGTAATGTGGGAAAAGGCTTGGTCTTCCTTGAAATTCACACCTGCCCTGTGACCCAAGGGTACTCATAGAAGTGTGGGATAGTGATTAACGTCTCAGGATATTATGCTATAATATAACAACCCAAATTTGAGTTCTGTTGGGAGTGCTGGTGAGAATACCTTTTGAGAAGCAAGGCTATAGGAAATTAAATGGAAGCGAAAGGTCTACTTATATGATTGCGGAAAAATCTAACTACCAGTCCTTCGTCACCTTACATAAAACGGGGTGAATACATCTCATATGTATACTTTAGAAGAGAACCTTGTATTTTTTAGTTTGCGTACCATCACTATTACCGTCATCACTGCCATCAAACATGCTTCAAGAATACAAGCGCACGTTATCTTTTCCAGTACATCATAACGGTGTACTTACTTGTAATGTATCTTTTTTGCCTTTATTTCTTACCTTGCATATGCACCTTTAAGCAAGAGGAGGAGGGACAAGGACAAGGAGCCATCACTGGACCAGATGGCGAGACAGAAGAAATGCTCATTAAAAAAGCAGAGGAAAGCTTTTTCCAGGCTATCGAGCAGGAACGTAAGACAAGAGAACGTCGCGAAATAGAAAAACTTGCAACTGTCCCTACCGAGTCACAGAAAATCAACGAAAAGGTAAGTTAAATCTATACCACTGTGCCATATAGCTCCTGGAATAAAACATGCGAAAACTAAATCAACTGCAAACATATAAGTTGCCTATTAAAAATTGTAATCAATTAATATATTTTCTACATAATTTAGACTTTTTAGTACCATCTTGGGATGCATGAGCCTTACATGAGACGATATGTCCAAAAATGTCTGGCTAACATCTTAACTTATTTACCTTACACAGAGTGTGTGGCTACTAGCATTTTCAGTTTGCTTATGTGAATAGTATTTTGTTGGACTTTCGATGGTCTTGCTGAAACTCAAAGGATCAGAAAACTTCTATAAATAATCAAAATAGACCATCATCTTATAGTCCAAACGTTATCATCTCCACAATATTTATCTTGCATGTGCTGAAATTAAAATACAAGCAATCAGTAATAATATGATCTCAAGTTGGTAATAACTGAAGCTAATATAGACTGATCGAAGAAGGTATGAAGACCAAGATGGTGTGGCCTTTTGTGTGGTCACAGTCTCCTTTCGTTGTAGAGAAGTTGTTTGACCTTGTTTTTGCAACTCGGTCATATTGGTAGGAAGACTTAGAGGAACGCACCAAGTCCGGAGTCATTTGTATGCATGGTAATTTCCAAAGTCGGAACATGAACGTGGTACATTCCCAGACA